AAGAAGAAGAAGAAGAAGAAGAAGAAGAAGAAGAAGAAGAAGAAGAAGAAGAAGAAGAAGAAGAAGAAGACGAAGAAGAAGAAGAAGAAACCCCGGATTTGTCCAAGTGTATTCTTCACGGGGTGGTTTCGTGCCCCTACTTTTATGGCCTACCAAAAACCCATAAGTTAGCAAACAACAATTCCAAACTCCCCCAATTTAGAGGCATTTTATCCCAAATAAATGGTCCTACCGTCAGAGCTTCCTTTTGGCTCAACGGCATCCTCAAACCCCTTGTCCCTGACTACAGTGGTATCCACTGGGTAAAAGACAACCTCCACGTTCTCCAAAAAAAAGTACATGTAACTATTAATTCTGAAAACACCCTCACTCCTGAAAATAGCTTTTTGTCCATAGACGTTGTCAACATGTACAACAACATACCATATCAAGAAGGTATTGGGGCTTGCCGCTTAGCCGTCAGAAGCCTTGCACCCTACAACACTCGTCAAACTTTAGAATTTGCAAACTGTTGAAACTTGTCCTACCTCAATAATGTTTCATTCAACATTCAAATTTTTCTCCAGCTGACCGGCACAGCGATGGGTACCCCAGTGGCCCTCCTCTTATGCCAACATTTTAAAGGCTGAATTTTGATTCAAATACGTCTCCCCTCTTCCCAACCAACCATTTGTACTTATGCGTTACATGGATGACATTATCGCTCTGCACAATGGTTGCTCTAAAATCTAAAACTACCCCAAAATTTCTCACTGGTCTGAACAAGGTGCACCACAACATCAAATTTACTTATTGTAAATTCCAGCCCAGGTAAGTCCACTTCTTTCCTGGACATGTCCCTTCTCATTGCAAATAACCAAATTGAGACAGACCTTTACAAGAAGTCTACCGACTCCAGTTGTTACCTCCCACCGTTTTCAAACCATCCCAAACATATATTCCGTTCTGTGGTCTATAATAGTGGTAAATTAAACTCCACCGCATTTGTTCCCGTGAAACTTCTTTTAAACAACCAACCTTCTTAACAGTGGATACTGAGAACATTTTATAACGCCCATTATCGATATAGTCAGCAAATTGAACCACATAAGCTTCTGA